ATATATATATATATATATATATATATATATATATATATATATATATACACACACACAGTATACATACAGTGTTGGGGAGTAACTTGTTATGTGTAACAGAATTATGTAATTTAATTACAAAATAAATGTAACTAATCTGTTACAGTTACTGAGATAAAAATGTAATGAAATTACAGTTACTTAGGAAAATGTTAACAATTACAAAGGGGGTTACATGTGAATATTTTTTTGAAAAAGCTAGGATATGTTGAATAATATTAATTTGCTGCTTTGTCTGTTTTTGATGCCTCCTGCCATTTAAAGGCTGTTTAGTAAAGCGATGCTATTCATGGTGAGTGATAAAAATGCGTTCCAGTACTGGGAAAAAATAAATAAAAAATTCATCCAGAAATCAGAAAAGGGCACAAATACAAGAGTGCAGTGCAAAATATGTTTGCCAGGCAACTATTAAAATGCTATTGACATTTTAATGTCGAACCCGGGGACGCTTCTGCAGGTATATAACTAACTGTCACGCCTCTTGAGTTCATGGGCACTCCAGCTGGTGATCGTGACAGTAACTAAAGTAATCTAAATTAAATAAAGTAATCTAAAGTCTGATTTTGTGGTGGCTGTGCTTTAAAATAAAATTATTATAATCTTAATTCAAGTCATGAAGGATTTTGAAAGTCTGACAGTAATCAGCATTGAGTTAGCCCTGCCTCGTTTAAATGTTTGAAAATTATTAACAGATAAAAACATTTGTTAGAAATTTAGAAAAGTAATCAAATGCAATAAGTTACATTAATAAAGTAATTAGTTACACTACTTATTACATTTTAAATTGTGTAACTTGTAATCTGTAACCTATTACATTTCCAAAGTAACCTTCCCAACACTGTGTATATATATATAGCCCTATATTGTGATATAGCCCTTGACATACACATATAGCATTTTGCAATGATTACAATTTTTATAACAATTGAATAATTGATGAATTTGTTTTATTAAAACTGAATATTAGGCTTTCATTATCTCTGGGCGTAGGACAAAATAACTTGATCACAATATTCAAATAGATTTGACATAAATTGAAAATAGCTAGAAAACTATATATTAAAAAAATGAATTGTCTACAAAAAAAAAAAATCTTAGGTGATTAATAAGTGTAAAATCATCTACACAAGACATGATTACATTGAGGATTCTGCGTATGCGAGTAACAAGATCAGTTTCCTTTTTTCCTTCGTCCTGACATTTTATCCTACCCGTCAGATTGTCCTACCAGGGTTTACTGCGCATGCACACATCAATATTGCGTCCTTTTTCTCATGCTGAACAACAATATTTAATGTATCTGCATTAATGTAAGGGTAAGTTTAGGGTTGGGGTAGGTGTAGACTTGAATAAAACACAATCTAATAGGTAGAGAAAAATTATTTAATGTTTTTTTTTTCTTGTAGCTGTATCCCTAGCTACAGCCGCGAATATAATTACTGTAGGCTATTTGCATTACTGTAAGGGTAGGTTTAGGGTTGTGGTAGGTGTAGACGTTAATAAACCATAATTTTACAGGTAGCATTTTTTTTTGTCGAATTTTACTACCCACTGTTTTAATGGGAGGTAGCAAAATCTGACAGGGTAGCACAAATCGACAGAACACTGTCTCTGTAGACTAGGTGAGCCACTTGTCTATGCAGTTCTTGTAGACTGTGAGGTTTGAATGCCAGGATGTATGGTGAACACCAGGGACGACACACTTGACCACAGCTCCTTCTGAGTTCAGTGTTTTCAGGCCAAAAGCATCTCTTAGGTACCACTGGGGAAAGTGGAAAAATGGTTAGGACAATTAAACTGCACCACTAAATACAAACCATTAAAGGAATAGTTCACCCAAAAATTAAAATTTGCTGAAAATTGACACACCCTTGGGCCATCCAAGATGTAGATGAGCTTGTTTCTTCATAAGTACAGCTCCAAACAGCTGATAAAAACATCAATATAATCCACAAGTAATCCACATGACTCCAGTCCAACAATTAACTGACTTTTTAGCATTGGAAACGGTGCTTGATTTGTGCATGATTCAAAAAATATGACTTTTTCACTGGAGAAAGCAATATTATAGAGGACTTTATCCAGATGCAACAATTTGAAGTTAAAAACATCTTAATGATGGATTTGTTTCTTAACAAACTCAGCTTTTTACTTCACAAGATGGGGTCGTGTGGACTCTCATTCTGACGGCACCCATTCACTGCACTGGATCCATTGGTAAGCAAGTGATGTAATGCAAAATTTCTCCATATCTGTTTTGATGGAGACAAACTCATCTAAATCATGGATTGCCTAAGAGTGAGTAAATTTCTTGAACTATTCCTTTAACAAACAAAACTAAATAATAATAAAAATAAAAGTAGTTTTACAAAATGCTGTTAGGAATGAATGTATCCACTCACATCCTGCTTTTCCATCTCAACCACAGTTTCATTACTGTCATAAAACCCAAAAATACTGTGGGGAAAAAGAGATAAACAGTAAAAAGATATGAAATGAGTATGTTTTATTCAGGACCTGAATTTTAGAGATAGCGATCATGCTCTGAAAATCCACCACATAATCCTATAAGACCTTTTGAAGTTCAAATGTCACTCTAAATATTTCTCACATTCATTCCAGTCTGCTGAGCTGCCACACATTAACCCTTTAGCAGCATAAGACTTTGATGATTTCTAACTCTGACAAACTTTAGATGCTCAATATCATGTGATACAATATTTGTGGAGACCTTGACTCCCATGGTGTAATAACGCCGTCATCTTGTCCACCGATCAGCACCAGCGTCTGTATGTGCAGAAAGCTGTCTCGCCACGCTGCAAGGGAACAGCAGCATACAACATGGCTCAAGGCCACTGAATTGAAAGTGCACAAACAACCCAAGCAAAAGCTGTCATCTGAGCAGCACATAAACACAGGTTACCAAAAGTCATGTCATCTGAAATTACCTGTTGAATTGGCATGCACTATTTCTCCATTCAGTGGGGCGAGATAGATGCTGCTCTTTAAGTATCTCTCTCTTTGGTGTGGATCTACAGAAAAAAAAGACAGAGATAAAGATAAAGAAAGATGCTGTAAATCACATTAAATGCAGAACAGTGATTAA